CTCCAACTTTAGTAGCCTCTTCTGGTGGAAGTGCCCTCTTACTAAGTTGAATGATATCTGGGTCTTTATGTTGTTCAGAGAGCAAACGTTCTCGGCTGAGGATGTCCTTGCCTTTGCTAACTAGTGGATGCAACTCATCATCCTCACCACCAAATTTTGGTACCAGTTCTTTCTTCTCTTGCTTCTTGATATTGTGTGGTTCCATGTTTGTTTGAGTGTCATTAAGGTCAGATAAGAAAGTGCCATTCAAATCAATATCAACAGAGGAATTTGTCTCGTCAAAGGCTTGAGTAAGGTCTGCCTCCATTTCTCGTCTTCTGGCCATCGCTCTAGTAACAGCACAGGCTGGATAAATGTCATCATCTTCATCATTATACATGACATCTGGAGTGATCTTCTCACAAACTATAGGATCTGGTACAACTTTTCCACCAGCTAGATCGTTGCCTAACAACAAAGAAATGCCTGGAACGGGAAGAGTAGGTCGAACACCTACGATAACAGGTCCAGTAACTAAATCTGACTTCAAACTACTTCTATGCAGGGGAACATCAATGACGCCTAGCTCCACACCCTGTAATAAAACTGACCCACCAGTAGAAGTCTGCTCAGACAAAGGAAGCACGCCCTCTAACAATAACGTCTGTGCAGCACCAGTATCTCTCAAAATCTGGACAGGTTTTATTTCGCTAGAGTCACCGAGTGAAACAAATCCCTGAGACATAAAGGGCTTATAATCCTCCATAGAATCAATAGAACTGGACTGTGAACCCTGGACATCAGGAGTGTCAGAACAAATCGAAACTAAGGCTTCTCTATCACCTCTAACTGCCGCACAAGCATGTGGTTGAGTTTTATCAAAATCATTTTTTCTCCTAAGTTTAAAGCATTCACTGATCAGATGACCCTTTTTCTTACAATAACTACAAGTAGGAAGCGACCCTATTCCAGACGATCCTTCAACACGTCCTGAACCGGACTTAAAACCACCTTGGGATGGAGACTGGGAACTTGTGAAAGACTGAGACCCTGAACCACTCTTTTTATATGTGTCTGAATTGGTAGAATTACTGCTAGTCTGAGATCTTGAAACAAAATTCTTTTTATGAGACAGAGCATAAGTATCAGATATGACTGCTGCCTCTTCAAGAGTTTTCACATTCTTATCTTCTAAATGTGTTTTCAAATCTTGAGGAACACATTCCTTAAACTCTTCTACCAGGATGACTTGGCGCAAATTAGCAAAAGTTTTATCAAGTTCCTTAGATCTAAACCAGTGATCGAATAAATCTTCCTTCTCTCGTGAAAATTCAACAAATGTTTGATTATCAAACTTTCTATACTTTCTGAACTTTTGTCTATACGCTTCAGGTACTAATTCATAGGCTTTTAATATTGCTGCTTTGACCTTCTCATAGTCTGAACTCTCAACTACCCCTAGTGCAGAGTATACCTCAGCCGCTTTTCCAGCCAGTACACTTTGTAACATTGTTGACCAAACATTTCGTGGCCATTTAAGATTCTCTGCTACCTTTTCAAATTGGGGAAAATATTTGTCTACAGATTTTTCTTGAAATTTTGGAACTAATCTGATATTTTTTGCTGCGTCAAATTCAGTTTTGACAACTGACGATTCTGGTTGGTTTTGTAATTTTAATTTCTCTAATTCAAAGTTCATTGCACGCTCTTTTTCTCGCTCTTCTCTTTCTGCTGCTAATTTGTCTAATTCAAATTTTCGTTCACGCTCTCGTTCTTCTCTTTCTCTTTCTCGCTCTTCTCTTTCTTTTTCTTGCTCTTCTCTTTCTTTTTCTCGATCTTCTCTTTCTAATTTTTCTCTTTCTAATCGCATTTTCTCTAACTCTACTTGAAACTGATATTCTGCCATTTTATAAGAGCCTAACTCTGATTTAACTGTATATTCTGGAAGATCGTATTTTTCAAAGACGTTTTCTTCTACTAGTTTGTTTGCAACCTTAATTCTAATGTCTTGCTTTCTCTGAGAGGATTTAACATCTAACCCAAAATGCAAACCTAATGCGATCAAGTCATCCTTTTTTAACGTATCAAAAACCTGAACACTTGGTGAACTAAGAAAGTCTGTGACCGAAAATACCATGTTGATTTCTGCTGGCTTATAATCAAATTTAACGGTTCAATAAACAAAATTCTGACAATAAACTGCAAAAGTGCAAGAAATTCTTTATCCCGGACGAGCCCCCAATTCTGTTATGGGTCAGAATTACCCGAAATGCCAGCAAAGATCAATAACACAATTTAAACTTAACAATAATTTATTTACAGTAATATATAATAAATATATCAAACATAAAGTACAAACTTAGCAAGAATCTAAAAATACATACATCAGAGTGTCCGTTGCTGCACATGCACACATGATGTCCCAGTGAAAATATATATCCCAGTTATATCTCAATAGTGCTTATACGACAAAGTATATCTATGCATCGAATTGACAGGGTATTTATACAGTAATATAAATCTAGAATATTCTAGAAATTGTTAAAACATGATATTACTGGAACAATCTGGACATACACAAAATTTAAGAATGTTCTAGATAAAATGACCAAACATGTTGACCACTCTGGAATGTTCAAGAAACTTAATGTTACTAATTATATACATAATGAAACAATACACATCTCACAACAATGAATATTCTTGAAAAAAATTTTCATGAATAATTCATGAAGAGTCATATTCATGAAGATTCATCATTTCAAGAATTGTTCAATAATAAGTTCATTGCATCAGTTTTGTCTGCATTTGTTTTCAAATTGATTTAGAGGGATATTACAATGTTAAATGTGAGCAAATGCACATAGTGTTGGTACATGTAGACCCCTCTTAAATACATCTAGTATTGTTTTTGTGTCAGTTACCGGGTATATTTCATTTTTGGAAATAGATTGGACACAAAACCCCTGGCTATTGATGATGATTAAAAGGACTTTAACTTTATATTAGTAAGGCTCAATAGAAAATAAATTTAGGGTGTTCCATATAAACGCGTGGAAAATAAAAAAAATTGATTGATTGTTTGTTGTTTAACGTCCCTCTTGAGAATTTTTCACTCATATGGATATGGAGACGCCACCACTTGATGATGGAGAGCTACAAATTTTGTCCTTTACTCGGCACTCAGGGCCTTTCAGCAGTGAGGGATCTTTTTTCATGTCAGCACCTACTGCAATACTGGACCTCAGTTTATATGGTCTCATCTGAAGGACCGGTCTCCACGTCCCACAGTGGGATTCAAACCTGTGACACAAGGATCAACTTCTACTTTGCAACTCTAGAGCAAACACTCTAACCACTGTGCCTCACTGGCAATGAAAAACTTTGTAACTTATATTCATTTCCTTGAGTTGAAAGTCAAAAGCAATAGTGAGTTTTGGAGCTCCGAAGTTGAAATACTAGGAAAAAATGCACACAGAAACAAGTCAGGGGGAAGACTTTTGTACATTTTATCCATAAACGGTAAAAGTCCTGTTAATTGAAATACTATTGTGGAAAACTTCATTAGTATAGTACTTGTGAGAAATGGAACATGTTTTATTTCATACAAAAAATCCAGGTGAATAATGTAAATAAAAATCTTAAATGAATGCCAATGATAGCATAACCAGACATAAACTGTGCTTATAAACAATTGATATGTAACAGGAGAGGAAAAAATGCCGGAACTAGACCACGATTTGAACGGGGCCCACTGAAAATCCAGTCATGTGCATTAATGACTGAGCTACATGTATTTGTCCACCAGCGATCAAACCCGGCTGACTGCCACATTTCTCCCTCCTTAAAGGTCTTTAGCTCCCAAACACCCCAACCCAGGCTCAACTCTGGCAGGCCTCTCAATTGTCAGTTTCATGGCATGGCACAGGACAAAGTGAAACGAGAGAGCAGAAAAATGCAGCAGACCAGACCAGGATTTGAACCCGACCCTGGTCCTCTGAATCTCCAATTAGGTGCTCTACTGACTGAACTATCTGGCCACCTGAATGAACCTGGCTGACCACCACACATGAAATGAAATATGGAATTGCTGATAAACTGTACAAATTTAGATTTTCTTTGAAATATTTTTTCAAATAAATCTTATGCAGCACTTTTCCAATTTCCTCATGAGTATTTAAAAACGTGATTTTTCAGTATGCTATTCATTCCAGAGTCTGACATCATTTTCATAGTTATTATGTCATAGAAACAAGAAAGTGACATAAAAATAAGGGCAAATTCTCCAGCTTTTTAGCTCACCTGAGCCGAAGGCTCAAGTGAACTTTTCTGATCACATTTTGTCTGTCATCCATCTGTCTGTCTGTCTTTAAACTTTTCCTATTTTTGACTTCTTCTCAAGAACCACTGGGCCAATTTTAACCAAACTTTGTACAAAGCATCCTTGGGTGAAAGAAAAATTAAATTGTTAAAATGAAGGGCCAGGTCCTCTCACTAGAGGAGATAATCAAGAAAAGACAAAAATAGTGTGAGGTCATTAAAAATTCTTCTTCTCAAGAACCACTGGGCCAGAAAAACTTATGAGAAAGCATCCTGGGGGTAGTGTAGATTACAAATTGTACAAATTATGACCCCCGAGGGGTTGGGTTGGGCCACAATTGGGAATCAAAATTTTACATAGAAATATATGGGAAAAATCTTTAAAAATCTTCTTCTCAAGAACCACTTGGCCAGAAAAGCTGAAACTTTTGTGGAAAAATCATGGGTAGTGTAGATTCTAAATTATATAAATCATGACCCCGGCGGATTGGGCGGGGTCACAATGGGGAATCAAAATTTTACATAGAAATATATAGGAAAATTCTTTAAAAATCTTCTCAAGAACCACTGGGCCAGAAAAACTGAAACTTTTGTGGAAGCATCCTTGGGTAGTGTAGATTTTAAATTGTCCAAATTATTACCTGTGGGGTAAGATGGGGTCACAATAGGTATTAAAAGAGGGAAATCTGGCAAAGAATAGCATGGTCAAAGCTTCTCAGGTGAGCGACGTGGCCCATGGACCTCTTGTTAATGGTCAAATTCCTTAACTTCCGTGAAATGTTAACTTTTTATCAAGCTATTCTCAGAACTTTTCTTTGTATATACAATTAAAAACATTTTCTTTCATAATTAAAGCTCATTGCTATCATTGTTCTAAATTTTTTCTCATCCTCAGCAAATTGAAGACCAGATAAAGTTACTGAAATATCAACAGAGATTGGAGGAGGAAATGAACAGACCATTTTTAAATCTATCTCTTCATCAAATGATCTACTGTCTGACCAAGGACAACAACCATAAAGTTGCAGAACAGCTCCGAAAAGAATTCAAAGTTCCAGAGAGAAGGTGAGGAGCAAACTGTATATCATTACCTGGAAGTTGTATTTTTATGGAGTTATAAATTTTGATCACAATGTCTGACTTAGAAGGAAGTCTAGAAAGATTATGACTGTTTCTTGTTGAGGAAATGCATTAATTTTGTACCAACACCTATGAAAATCATTTATATAGATCAGAAATGAATTCAATGATAGAAAGGAAAATCCCAGACCTAGAAAAAAAGCATTGCCCGATGGGTGGGACAACCATTTTTGGTTGGTGGGCAAGTAATTAGATAACAGGTGCCTGCTTGTGGACAAGTGCTTTTCCAATTAACAAAAAAAATCATGTATGGTACTTAAATATAATTTGTGTTATCGCTTTTAAAGTACAGGTGACTCTCGATCTCTCAAAGTTCAAGGGACCGTAAGAAAAGTTCGAGAGATCGAGGGGTTCTAGAGATAGAAAGTAAATAAAATCCAGAATTTTCAGTTCTGATCATCCATGTTCTACTATAATAGATATCGGAAGTACATGTATATGTAAATAAAGTTATTGCACGTTTTTAATCGTATTTTACAGGTAATATACTTGATATCAACAACAACGATTGTATTTCGAATAAATAAATAAGAATTCCTGAAGTTTCAATATTAATTTGTTCTTATTTCATGATAACATGAAATCCAAAAGCAATTGAAGGTTTGGCTATTCCGCTGCTTGATCAGGCCATTCACCAGTGTTCACCAGATTTTTCTTAATTGGTATTCAGTCCTTGAGAAAGGAATTTCTTGTGCAATATTTGCCATACTGGGATTATGCAGACTTTAATAAAAGTTCAGAACATTATTTTGAACATCTTTTGTTCAATGTTACTTATCAAAATATTTCCCACTTTTGATATAAAAAGTGTTAGCATTCTGAGATTTAGCATTCTGACCCCTTGTGGCACCTAATTATATAACATATGACATAAAAATCATATTATATAGTTGTAGATTATTAAGATAAACATTTTTGCTTCAGTAATGTATAACAAAATATTGACTGCTGAAAAGTTATCGATTGAAGACTTGGCCCCTCCTGGCCCCTAATTTGAGTCCCCAGCCCCCTTTTCTGGATGTTACAATGTACCATAAAGCTCTCAATATTTTGAACACTTTTTTGTTCAACAACTATTGAGAGATTCTTTTACGTTTTCGAGTTATTTGCAAAAGAAATATTTAGGGACCAACCCTTCCACTCCTTAATGGGGACCTTTATTGAAAAATGAAAGGTTGAATATTGTTCAGAACATTATTTTGAACATCTTTTGTTCAATATTACTTAATATCAAAATATTTCACACTTTTGATATATAAAACGTCAAAGATTTGGCATTCTGGCCCCTTGTGACCCCTAATTATGTATCATACGACATTGGAATCATGATATACTGTAAAACGAGAATATTTGGTGCACTACTAATTTTGGCTCAAGAGTCCCTAAACACTATTATTTATTGTGCGCTTACTATAGAGGAGGAGGCTTTGTTTCCCGTTTTCTAAAGATTCTTACGCAGATACAACGTATCAGAACAGATAAACCCCTAAAATTGCAGGGATTATTCCGTGACATGAACGTATCAAGAAAATAAACAGGTATTTTAATGAGTACAGCATTTGAATAAAGTTTTTTAAAAATGTTGTTAAAACTTCTTTGAATTGTGTTACTACTTATTTTTCTCCAACTTTCCTGTTCAATGCCTCTGTAGTTTCACATTGTTGTTAAATCAGAGGCATAAATAACACGTAAATATGTTATTATTTTACAGCTATAATTCGGGAAAAACCCAAGACCAAAGAATAGTAATTCCGATTTCAGAACAACTTTGACACATTCCTAATAAATTTTATTTAGACATTATTTACAGGTGGACGACAATTCCGTCGATGTCTGCCATTTTTATTTTTCTTCTCCAGGGATTTGCTAAAACATGCAAATGACCATTGAATGTATAAATCAAGCAACAGTAAAGAATTGAAATCATATTAAAACTTTATAAGTTTAATTTATAAATTTAATTGAGAGTACATTCCCAATTTGACTGTCAACATGAATTTCACGGCTTTGTTTGTTCAATGATGTGCAACATTAATACCCTTTAACGGCACTTTGGTTTGTTAATCATGCCCCGCAGGCATTTAAACCAACACAGGTGTAAATCCCTTTATCTGTCAGACAATTAAAATTCTGTTAGAAGCCAATCTTTGTATACTGTGTAAAAACACTACTTGTGATCGGGAAAATTTTCCGTGTTTTAAATTTTGATACGGTTGCGGTTTTACTTTTAGTATATGATTGCAACTTCCTAACTTCACAAGATGGATACCGCATGATGTTAATGGATAATACGTTGAGGAATTATTTAATAGATGAAACAATGTTGTTTTCCTTTGTCATCAACGGATAATTAATGGAATTCATTTTGTAAGAAAGCTATAGAATGAATATTTTATTGTTTACCGGGGCATTAATTTTTTTGCAAAAAATAAATTAAAAAGTTACGAAAGTGGCACAAATTTGCTTTGAAATTGACGTAAATTTTACTGATTTGGGGGCATTTTTCGTAAACTTGAGCCTTAAATAGGTCGAATTCTGAATATTGGGCGACCCCAGCGGTTCTGAGAAAAAAGTATCGACCTATATTCCATAAATTACGGTATATATTTTAATGACAAGTGCAAGTGCTAAAATTTATTTGCGCCAATGCATTCCCACTTGCATTTCCGCACCAAATTTTCTCATTTTACAGTATAGTTGTAGATTGTTGAGATAAACATTTTTGCTTCAGTAATGTATAACAAAATATTGACTGCTAAAGAGTAATCGATTGAAGACTTTTGGCCCCTCTCAGCCCCTAATGTGATGAGTCAGCACTTTTTTCTTGCTATCATATTAAAGATCTTGTCATTTTGCACATATGTTGTTCAGTATGTTTTAACAAAATAATTATATTTTTAGAGATATGATGCAAAATGTCTCTAAAAATCACTCATGATTCATATCCTAAATTTTGACCCCTATTGAGCTTCCATACTAGGCACTTCCAGAAAATACCATGACCCAGGTGCAACATAGCAACATGTCCTCTATCATCACTGAAAATTTAGGCGCTCTAGCTTAAACCGTTTTTGAGTAACATGACAGACACGATTGTCCTCTAAATTTCGATCAAAAGGTGATAATTTTTGACTGAAAGGAAATTTCCTTAAAAGGACTTGCCGGAATTAACTTCAGATGTCAATGCATCAACGATGAAAAGGATCACTTCATTATAAATAGGGATCTGACCTATAGGACCGGGCTTGGTTTTATTCTCTACAAAAAGCTTGTCGATTTCCGTTCTGATTAATGACATTAGGCTGAATACATATAACAATTTGTTTTTCCTAAATCTTTATTTCAGTGAGTAGAGATAGGAGGAACCCTTTTTATTGATTTCCTGATTTGTTATCTCCAAATGTAATAATTGATATTTGTCTATACTTCTCATTGTGCATAAAGGTAATGTCTACTGTCTCTGAAATTCTATTCTTTATGCCTTGGCTATTTAACCGTGGATAACCGTGGATTAATGTGTGCAAATTATAAAGGCCTAAATGAAATCCAAGGGAGTGCATTTACTGAAGTATGGAGCCAAAATCAAAGTGATTAAATTCTAAGGAATATATACAATTGAAATTCATCGCAGCTCAATGCTGCCAAGAATACCCATATTGAGTAACACACAGTGAGTTATTCTTGTCCTCGGAGAAAGTGTGCTTATACAGAGGTTCGTTCCACCTGACTGACAACTGTACATTGGATTGTTACGATTTGATATCTCTTTAATGTTTCTTATATCAAGAATGGGCATGCATAAGGGATAGAAAATTGAAGGAAAAATACACAAGTCTATAAAAAAAAAATTAAATTGTCTTTGAAAAGGCGAAATTAAAAACTTTATAAGTGTTGTACCAGGTGGATTCGAACCCCGACTTAAAAAAGAGAGTATCCAAGTAATAAAAGTCAGCTGATATATCAACTGAGCTAGTCTGACTATAAGAATGTGTGGCATAAATTTAAAGCAAATTATGAAAATCTGGTTTCCTTATTTTTTTGTAGGTTTTTTGTGAATTTCGACTTCAGGGCAGGGGTGCCCCTAAAAAAATCTTATCTTAAATTATTCCTTACATCCTAACCTATCAAAATATCACAATTTTATTTAGGGGCAGGCCTGCCCTGATGGACTTCAAGGCCAAAATTCATGCAAAAATCAACGCTTTAACTAACAAAATGGTGTTTCGATCAATTTTGGAGGTTTATTGTAAAGTTGTAAATAATAAATTTTAGGTATAAAATACAAATTTAAAAAATTTAGACATATATACGGTAGAAAACAACAAATAAAGATTGATTTTTAAATGTCACTTTTTCCGGGAAATTGTTCTCTCCTATAGGTCAATTCTTTTGTTAAAGCGAATACATCCTTTGGATAAAATCGAATGAGCCATGTCCAAGAAATCCTCTGCACAAATTTTGTAAGAAGAAAAAAGAATAAAAACTAGATACAATCTCATTGCGAGCAACGAGTGGGTCTTCAGTCCGATTCTTGATGAGATGAGAAGATTTTAACTGAGATTTTCATTCAAAAATAATGATAAAGATTGTGAAGAAAAACGATTTGCCTCCATAATCTGTAAAAAAAATATTGAACATAAAGACTTATAAATTTGACATTTGGCCCCTCATGGCCCCTAATATTAGGGATCAGCCCTTTTTTCTCATATCATCTTAAAGCTCAAAGAATTTGGAACACTTTTTGTTCAACAACTATTCAAAGATTCCTTTTCGTTTCCAAGATATTTGCAAAAGGAATTTTTATGGGCCGACCCTTCAACTCCTTAATGGGTATGTTTAGAGAAAAATTAAAGGTTGCATTTTGTTTAGAACATTATCTTCAACATCTTTTGCTCAGTATTACTTATCAAAATATTTCCCACTTT